ACACATTACTGTACGTGTTTTCTCTGCCCAAGTCAGAATGAACTCTTGAGTATACTGCCACATTATTAATGTTATGTACACTTGATGTTGGACTATACCAAGAAGAATACAAAGATACTAAAAATACATCCCAGTACTGAACGCAAATGATCATATTTTTAGACTATCAGAAAGTCTTTCTTTATATAGCTTTTTTTTCAGAGCACTCATAACGTCATCAAAACCACGTAGGATTTTCAGAGCTGAAAAACACAAAAAAGGCCAAGAAAACAAGAGACCAGCCCCAGTTGTTTGCGTTAGGGCTCCCTCTAGTGGAACATGTGGGGTTCTATATGCAAACTATTTTTACCTTGTTTTTACATGACTGAGTGGAACTTACAAGACAACAAAACATGTGGTCCACATTTATTTATTTATTTATTATTTTCCAAAATGCACAAATTAGAAGAAGAGACACACAATCTAGCATTTTCATAAAACCATCATAAAACATTAACTACAGAGCTGTGTGATTACATAACGCAGGCGTGAGCTTAAAAACTCCAAATGTATAAAAGATAGATACTTAAAAAAATTGAAAGTTTATAAAAAATTTGCTTAAAAGTGAATATGAAAATTGGTAAAACATCTTTAAAAAGTAATAGAAATTTTGACATCAATAGCCTATGCACTTTAGTTCAAGGAGTTTGATTTCAGGCATAATTATTACCAGTTTACACTGACATATATTATTTTAATATTCCTATCTTACATGGCACGCCCTTTTAAGACCAAAATCACTTACTTTCTGGTTCCCTGACAAATCTCACTGGCTTCACCAGCGCTCTCTCAACAAAGTCTTGTTAAATTTTATGAGCACACATCACAAACACAGATACCCTCTAATCAACCATCCAAAAAACCTTTACATATAAAAATACAAAGACCATAGTACCGCAGCCATCAGAGAATAATGGTAACCTCTCTCCTCTTTAACACCACCTTAACATTATTACCACAATAAGCAGCTTTAAAAAGAGGTGATGTGAAACAGACATCTTTGGGTTTGATTTGGGGAATGTGATAAACACATAAAACTGGTTAAAAAGGTGTAAAGTTAACCAACACCTAGGAAATAAAACCACGAGGTCCTGAATTAAGTCAGAATGATTAAAAAAAATCAATATCAAAAATACTCTCAAGTAAATAAATCTTGTGCATAAATATCAACAGACTATTGAAGTGTTATATTTTGTAGCACCAATGAGCTAGTTGATGCAAGGACACTTACCCATGAGAGGGGTGGCTTCAGTTATTCCAAATGACTGTGATGGTCACACAAAACGATGCTACTGTGAAACACCTATGGTACAATGAAAACACGCTGCTCTATGAGCCGACTTATATAAAACTGATATGGAATTACAGAACGAGTGCATAACAATTGAACGTATAGTGAAATGCGGTGAACAGTTTGGATTTGTCAAAACAGTGCTGACAACTGGATTATTGCAAAACTAGAACGAAATCCATTCAATGTTCAGTTTCACACTTTTCCAACCACCACTGGGATTAAAGTAAGACCACTGTGTACAATAAGCAATGAGTAACAATGGTGTGAGCTCTCACGTAATTATCTGCACATACTTAAATTATTCAGGGTGAAAACGAACGCACAAACAAACTTGATGTTTCCTTTAAGTACAATAGATGAATAAACATCTGTGGATTGGCTGTGTAGCTGAGCTGTAGGCGTGTGGTTTACTTTAGTTCACCAGCAGGAGGAGAGGAGCCCAAGAGCGGAGACTTGGGGGAAACCTGGACAAGTAAAAAAGTTTTTAAAAAAAAGTAAAAAACCAAAAAAAAACCCCCAAATTATAGTTTAGAACTTTTTATCAAATCATGGTTAATCCATCCATCCATCCATCAGGGTACACCAAGGTAAGCCAGCTGAAAGATGTAGTCTCCCCAATGTGTCCTAGGTTGCCCTGGGGCTTTTTCCCATGCCCAAAGTACTTTGGAAGGAGTAGCAACTCTACTCTGAGCCCCTCCTGGATGACCAAGCTCATTTTACCTCTAAGAGATAACCCACCACCCTTCATAGGAAACTCATTTCTACTGCTTGCATCTATGTTCTCCTTTTTTCAGTCACTTCCCACAGCTCAAATAGTTTCACCAGATCAGTGTACATCGCTGCCACTACAGCAATAACCCATTTGTCAATCTCCTGCTTCACTCTCTCTAAACCCATGACCCTAACACTGGGAAGAAATGAACATTTTGTGAAGTTAAAATCACAGCTACTGCCAATCCAAGAAAAATCTCAGGTTTTGATCCTTTTACTGTTTAAGTGCATCATATTTCCCCTGTATTTCCTCTCCCAGGAGTGGTTTCTGTTCATGTAAAGGACCTCTTGATCACTACATTTACATGCACATTAATATTACACTACCATTTTAAATACAAAATATATTATATTTGAGTATGTGTCATTGAAACCACACATCCTGTTTGTATATTCAGAATTAATCCCACTGAAGCATGTTCTTGTTAAGACATGGAATTACTCATATGTTAGGGGCATTCTTTAGACACTGAACTGTCTCCTGGGCCTTCTGTTCACTAGGTGACTCTGCTTTGTTTTGATCATGCTGTGCTTTGTCCTGAAAGAGCAGACTGAGAGTAATTACCTGGATGAGCAACACAGGGCCAGGTGTGCTCAGGCTATGACTAACTGGTTGAGCTACAGCTTGGTCCTTGGGTTCCCTTCTTTTGCTTTCAACATACATTACCAGTCATCCAAACATACACATTTACATTACATGTAATCACACATTCCTGATAGTTAATTACAGTTTTTCAAACATCCCTTTGTTAGTACTTGTTGTAGTTTATTAGCCAGGTTGTGAAATAAAATACATAAAGCACATCTGGAATTTGTCCATCACTTGGGGGTTTATATACTAGTTTATGACACATCTTGACCGTTTACGGTCAGCTTTGTGTTATACACAAACTAATAACCAGCTGAGAGGCTGGGATAGTGATTCATACCTGAAAGACGAGTGCAGATGGTTGGTAGGATAGAGAAACATGAGCAGACTCATGTCTGCACGTTTCAGCAATGTGCTGTCACTTTAGGAAACTTAAAAAATAAACTTAAAAGAATGAGTGAAGTTTAGGTTTTGTTGGGGAGCAGGTAGAAGTCAAATTATATGACAAAGTTATGCATCTCTCGTTCTGTTTAGCCAAAGAGCTGCACAAACATACACCATAAAGCCCACATTAGGTGAGAATGTGTACTTATTCTAAGGCAGTGACTTGTTTGACAGCTGCAAGCTTGTGGGTAATTGGTTTCTGGCTTAAACAGATTTGCTTGTTTGCTATTTTTGCTCAACCCAAAGCCAACTTTAATTTCTGTAGGTATGCCGTAAACCATATGCAACTCTTGCATATCAACATGTGTTTGAGAACACGCAAACATTGCAACACTGCCCAGATGTGGGAAGGAGGCTTATTTTAAAGAAACTGGTTGGAGGAATAATTGACCGAGGATGTGTTTGCATGGCTCAATATGTGACAAAATCCAGTTTGGATGGGTTGCATGCAAACAAGAATATTATATAATTATCCGTGTGTTATTAGCCATAGAAAGTGGCAATCACTTCCATGACACATTTCTTGGATTGTTGAATGTTGGTGTGAAAGGGATACTTTGTGTCTTAGCAGCATATTTAGATACTCACAGGGGATGGAGGCTTTGCAAAGTTGAGGTGAGCGTACAGAAGCACAGCGATGTCATTCTGACTGGCTTCAAGGGCAATGGACAGAGCAGTGCTGCCATCCTGTTTAATACAATGAGAAAATGTTGGTGAGACGCTGGTTTTGGGAAGGAGTCCGCATAACCACAGACCGAACTGGAATTCTTACATTATCGGTGAGAGTGGCATCACATCCTGGCACTGATAGCAGCTGACGCACAATGTCCACATGACCATGTTCACAGGCACACATGAGTGCAGTGGAGCCGTCGTCATCGCGGATGTTAACTTGTGCCCCGCAGGACAGCAGCGCTCGCACCATGTCCCCTCTACCATGACTGACTGCCAGCATCAGCGCTGTCTGTCCAGCCTACAAAACACACATTGTTTAAAATTACTGTTACCCTAGTTTTTTAACCAAACTGTGGACACATTGAGACTGCATTTGTGTACATGGTGCAGCAGATACATTTTGAGCAAAGTTCTTAAAATCACTTGTAAGAAGACGGTCTAGTTTCTAGAGCAATTGCAATGTGATTGCTAACAGAATTCAAACCAGATGAGCAAATGAGACTGGCTTCATAAAAATGCACAACTTTTATCCCCTGTTGTCATATCCCACATTGTTCCAAATTTAATTAGTTAGAGCGGCTTTTACTGAATGAGTGTAAGGAAAGTAACAGAGACTGTAATCACTGGTCTCGTGTATGTCACTGGCTTTTGCTACCTGCACTATGCCCAAGGTGGTAAATTGCACATCCACACAAAATCACAAGGTATTCAGATTTTTGTGGAATATGTGCAAAAATGTCACAAATAAAAAGTTTCAAATAAAGACTGAAAATTCTAATAACTGGGTACAACTGGTGCAAGAAATATTTTCCAGATATTTGTCAGTTTCATAAGAAACATGTAGCTCAGAGAAAAAATGTCCCTGTTAATGGATGTATTCCTCTGAAAGCCAAATGATAATCAGATGCTTACTGTCTTAAAGGTGGAATAAACAGAAAAATACAGAAACTTCAGCTCATTGTATTTCCTTGGGAAATTTGATTAAAATAAAATATGTCCTTTACATGCTAAATGCCTCCCAGGGTTAGTATCGTGCACCACATTTTCCTTGACAAAGAAATACTTAAATAAAACACACATTTAGTTTGTTGGGATCTGGTTACCACTTCTTGTTTGGGTAACAACCAGTGGGAGGCTATGAAAGTTTTACAGTAATGTACTTTTCTAACTGTCCACACAGTGTCGCTGTTGGGACAACTTTTGTGAAGCACTTGGCCATGGGTCAGCTGTCTACAAAGTTTTTACTCTTGTACTTGTTGTAATGATTACAGTTTTTGAAACATAAGACATTTTATGCAGTCCTAGTCCTGCACTAATGCGTGACAATGGGGGATTTTTGTGTGCGTGTGGAGACGCAGTAAAAACTAATGAGCAGTAGAGGGCGCACCTGGCTGGCCTTGGCATTGACATCCCCTGTGCGCAGCAGCTGCAGGACAGTTTGAAGGTCACTGTCGGAGTGGAAGGCAGCCAGAGCCGTCAGCATGATGGCCGTGTAGCCCGCCTTGTTCTGCTTGTCAGCGTTACACAAGCCTGTCAGGTAAAGAGGCCAATCAATTTGACAGGTGATATAACAGCAGCACAACAAAGTAAAAGGGATGGTTGCCATACCACTGTATGAGATAAATATCTCAAGAGTGAGTCTGTATTTTAATATGCTACCACTAATAATTTAATATGACTTCTTACTTAAATTGTAGAGATTATCATAATAAAAAATAACCATAAGACTTTACTTTGACTCTTCAGTCTTATGAGATTTTACTTCACTTAATATCCAATTTTTCTCCAGCGCCTCTGTTGTTTTCTCATAAAAGCACAGAACTCACCAGTGTCCAGCAGAAGTTTCACCACGGGGAAGTTGGAGTGGGAGACAGTGTAGTGAAGGGCTGTATTCCCGTTGCCATCAGCCATATTTATGACAAACTCCAGCAGCTGAGGGGAGATTGAGGCGAAAGTGTCCATGTAGGCCTTGACAACAGCTGTGTCGGCCGTTTTGTGGCAGGACACACGTAGCCACTCTTGCAGCACTGTGGTGTAAGCTGCCCTCTGAGATCAGACACAATGAGGACTGTTAAGGCAAATAAACATTTGACAGATGGCTGAAGAAATGCAAGAGCAACGACGACATCAAAAATGTGAAACCAAACCTCAGGAGAAGCCTTGAGTTAATGTGTTGTTTGATCTTTCAGTACTTGCAAAAATTATGAAACCAAAGTTAAGAATTTTCTTATTTTAACTTAGTCTTATTCCAGACATGGGGTGCAACAATCCAGTGTAGTCTTAATGCCGTTCCCAAGCCAGGATAAATGGGAAGGGCATCCGGCATAAAGTCTTTCCTGAATCAAACATGCAGATAATCAAACATCTTAAGCTATGCTTTAGTAAATATTTAGAGTTGGCAAACTAAAGTAAAATATATTCCAAATGAAATTATTGAGTGTGCACAGTTTGTGGGTAGCTGTGCCTCCTTGTTTGAGGTTGGTCTATGTCATTTATTTTAAAAGTGAACCTTCTGAATTTCCTAGAAAGAAGTAACGACAGGAGAAATGTGAAGAAATGTGGAGAAATGTGAATTAGACTCAACACGTACTGCTCCTTGTTGGCTGAAGGCATTAGGTTCCCCCAGGGCTTTCTGCAGGGCATGCAGAGCTAACATCAGGCTGTCACTCAGCTCTAGTCTGTGGCAGATAAGGAGACAACATCACTCTCAGATGTTCATAGATCCTTTAATCCTCACAGACAGACTCTGTGTACACTTACCTGACTTGTTTTGAAGGCGCTGTCGCAGTCTCATTTGAAATACGTTCATCTGCTGGTTTGCACTCTGACTGGATGCTGTACCGCTGCTGGGTGTTATCACTGATTTTAGTGAGGCCAGGTGATGAAGAACAGGTAAGTGAAGCCTTCTGCTCAGGAGTGGATTCAGTGCTAACTGGTGTGGAGGTGACCTGTTTGTGCTTTTCTGATGATTGTTTGACAGTCTCAGAATCATTTGGTGAACATGGAGGAGGTATGGCGTGGTCTGATGCTGGTGGCTGTGAGGCACATTTTTGCACCACAGTGTCTGTCGCTGGTGACTGAGGTGCTTTGTTTGATGGCATTGTGTCTACAGCTGCAGACTGGCTGGGACTTGAGTCTGGAATGGCAGCTGGTAGTTTGACAGCATTTTGCTGAGGTACACTGGTGCTTTCTTCTTGTTTGGAATCCTTGTTGTGTATTGTCTGCTGGTGCTGGACTGTAGACTCTGGAAGTTTTTCTCTGGCTTCATGATATTCACTAGAGTCACTCCCCTCATCTGAGCTCTCACTGCTGCTATCTTCTGAGGATGTGGACTCGTAGCTGTAAGACAAGAACAATTTTCACTCTGCTCAAACAGCTCAAAGTCTTTGCAGGTGACACAGGGAGTACATTTCTGCTTCTTCTTTTACCTTTTTACTTAACCTTATGCTGACAACATTCCCTTGACACAGTACTCAGTGGCAATGAAAATGGCCAACTGCTGCTATGCAAAAACTAATACTTACCCTCCATTGACTCCAATAAACTGTAGGTTTTTCTTCGTAGAGGGCGAGCCTGGTTCACCTTCTGCTTTCCGCTTCATAATTGATCTCAGAGACAATTGGGGAGATGAAGCTAGAAAAGATACCAGCAATTATTCGTACAGTGGGAACATGATGATGGTCAGAAGACACTAGTTTAAAAATCACATACCTGTCTTAGGTAAGCCTTCTTGTGATTGGATAGACTCATTTGCTTCTTCCTTATTATGCACAATCCGATCATCAGATGCAACAGCAATGGCAGGATTAGCTACAGGTACTGAGGTGGACAACCTGCTCTTCAAGACATCGCGTACCTGCTTAGAGCTGACTGCAATCGGCAACTCAACTGGAGCATCTGAGGGAGAGAGACAGACAACATTTCAAAGCTAACTAATCAGTCTTTTTGTGGAGTAATGCAATAAATAATTGTTATTTTAAAGATACAGTCTGATGCAGTACAATCCAGCGGCAATGCAGCATTCCAAACCCCTCCAGTTAAAATTTAAATATAGAAGTTTTGCGACTTTTCAACGACTTTTCAACTTTCAGTAAAAACATATATTTGAGGGTGACAGACTCAGTTTCTCAGACAATGATTAAGTCTAGCCTTGGACCAACCTCCACACACACACCTTTTTTTAAGAACTGATCCTTGGTGATTTTTTTCCTTTCAGTTTAGGATTAAGCATAATTCATATCTGGGAAACTTTTTGCAAAGGTTTCACAAAATGCTCTTGCATTGGACTGCATCAGACTCTCCAGTTTAAGCTCATAAAGTCTCAGTAACAGACCTTCAATTCGCCCTCTGTGGTGGTCTTCCACGCCTCCAGCAGCTGGCTGAATGGGGGGGGAGCTGCAGGTCTCTGCTCGGAGCAGTGTTCCCACCTCTACCACAGTAGGCTGCTCCAGTGTGTACACCTGAATTCCTACAGTTCTCTGGTCCCTCTGGTGTCGTTGCTGTGTGAAGCTGACTAGTGTATGCAGGCTGCAGCCTTGAGGCTCCTGCCAGCCCAGGCTCGTTGCTATGACTGGATGCTCTGCCTGAGGGCCCTTCTGGACTCCTGCCACCTGCTGCTGTGAAGCCTGTAGCTCCTGCATTGTCCTCTTTAGTTGACCCTCAAGCTGACCCACTTGATTTTTGAGGACTTCTGTCTCAGGTAGCAGTCCCAGATCCTTCTCTTGAACCCAGACCCCCACATGACGACTTCCTTTTGAGTCCTCTGGTCCCACGCCAATGGTGCGCACTTCCCGCTTTGCATCTGGTCGCACTCCACTCACAATCACTGTGTCCTCAATCTCACACCCTGAGTCTTGCTTGGACCCATCAGGTGTGGTGGGGGACAGTGACCCTGCTGGCTTATTGTTGTTGCTCCCCTTTCCAGTGCTCATGTCTTCTTCAGGGATGTCAATATAGAGCTCCCCTCTGGGACGACCTCGGTTGAACCCCAGAGTGTGGCCCAGGAACTTCTGGCTCTTCAGCTGGACACTGAGCTGCCGTTTCTCCTCCTGCAGCACTGAGATTTTAACTTGGAGCACAGGTATTGTTTTCACCTGATCTTCTAGCTCCCTTATCTTTCTCAGGGCTGCAGCCATCTGCTCCCTGACATGTTGCAAGTGAGCTGGGGTTGGAGTTACTGGGGTGGACAGACCAGAGCTCATGGGAGTGAAAGATCCACCTCCACCCTGTGACCGGTTGAAGCTGTGTGCGCTGCTGATGGAGGTGTTAGAGCCAGCTACACTGCTGTGCATGCTGCCAAGATTGGAGAATCTCCGTCCCTCTTTCTCTTCTTCCAGCTTCCTGCGAGCATCCAACAGAGTCTTCTCCACCCGGGCAGTACTGAAGCTGGGCCTTTGTGATGTATGGTAGCCTGGGGCACAGTAGGAGTAAGAGGAATGCCGGCTGTCCATGCTGGCATTGGAGCAGAGAGACTCCGTGGAGGTCCACCAGGAGCCAGCGTAGCCATAGCCACGGGGCAAAGAGCCATAGCGTGGCCGGCGTTGGACAGGCACCTTCTTGATAGTGTTCCCCTTCTCTATGTCGTTAACATATTTGAGGAAGTCTAGGTCCAGACGGTAGCCATAGGGGGTCTCCACTGAGTAGGGCGCCTCCTGTTCTTTGGCGTGCAGGGAAGGGGGGGCAGGCGGGTTGAGTTTCCCTGCAGGGGAAGGAAATAAACTTTAAACAAACGGAAATCTGCATCTAATCTTGGGTTCAGACTTCAGAAAAAAGCATCAGCTACTCCATAGTTATAAATGTACTCAGAATTCATCACCAAATTAGGCACAAAGTGGATTGTTGGAGTTCATTATGACACAATCTTACAGTTAAAATACATGCAAGTTGTGTGATAGTTTAAATCCTAACAAAAGCCTTAACCTATCATCATCTTTATGTTGATCATTATAAGGAATTAAAAATAGAGGGCGCACCTGGGAAGCCGGGGTCCATATGCAGCACCTGTGCCATAATGTGCCTGTGGCTGCTTTTCAGACAGTCACACAAACACGCTCACCTGTAGGGAGACAAAAGTGTTGAAATTAAACACACTGTATACTAAACATTTCTATAAATAACAAAGGATAACAATTAAATAATATGCTAAATTTGGTACTAATTACTAACTAAAAAATACTATAATAATAACTATTCAATAAAAACTGCACAATAAACAAAGACAGAACAGAGACAATACGAAGTGGATTGTGCAGTAGGTGTTGAATACCAGGTTCAAGTTATGGTCAGGATATTGTAGACAGGACAGGACATGTGAGACATGTGCAAGATGCAAAATATTCAAATATAGTATAATTTAGATGTGTGTTCAGTAACTATGTGATTAAGTGTGCAAATAAGCATATTGCCCCCAGGTCCAGTTTGTAGTGGATTTGTGGAAGTTTTTGTTGTTTTGAGTCTTTTGGTGAGTATTTTAAGGTGTTTGTAAAAGTGGCTTTTCTTGCATTAATTATAAAGATGCAATCAATGCAGTAATACACAACTGTCTACATCCAAGTAAAACCGAACAGAATCAGTATTCAAATATCTTAATATCTTGAGTTAACTGTAAAGTTTGCATGACATAGTGTGTCCAGAAATAATTACCGCTTTTGACTGCATTGCTCTCTCTGTATAATGGTCAGAAATAGCATTAGCCTTTCTTTCACTGCATTACCCGCCTGCCTCCATCCCTTATTTTATCCTTTCATTTTTTGAGCATATTGGGCCACTGTCAGTTGTATATTTGTTTCTGTTCATAGCATTCAGAGAAGAGAAGTTACAGGGGGAAAGTTTCCTGGCAGCTAATTCCAGGACAGAGATTTGCCAGTTACAGCCTTATTAGGAATCATCTGTGTGCACTTACTTCGCCTCTCACATTAGGATTTACAGACACTCTCTCTTCTTTCTCTCCTGCACTTCTTCCATCTCTGGCTTCTTCTCTATTTGTCCTTTCTTTATGCTCTTCTGCTCCAGTTTTACCCCTCTAAGCATCAGCTGATGATCAGAAGGTTTCAGCTAGTCCCTTTCTTTTCCTCTGCACACTTAGATGCTTTTTAATTCAGCCAAAAAACACAGTGAATTGCTGAGAGCTTGCATTTTACCAAAGGTAACATATGGATTTTGACTCTTTATAAACAAAAGACTAAGCCTTTCCCTCCACAGAGAGCAACACACTGCCAGCAAAAATGTAGAAACCCTAATGCCATGCCTCTGAGTTGGTGTGTGCTTGGAAAAGATTAACTTTCTAGGTCATCACTTTGTGGAAACTGTGGAAGTCTTTAAGCCATCCACAGCATTAGTCAGTTGAACATCTTTATATACTATGGCTTTGATAAGATAGGAACAGAAGTCTGCGCTGCAAACCACTTTGTTTTCAAGTGCAAACTATATTTGCCTCAGTCTAAGGCTGTTTTTTGTTTTTTCTCTTCTCTAAGTTGAGCCCTCTCTCTCTCTCTCTCTCTCTCTCTCCATCTATCTTGTGACCCTAGCCCGTGCTTGCTCATTTGTGAAAAGTAGGACACTTGGAAACACTGACTAAATTGACATGGTATTTTTGAAGTGCTTTAGTCAGTTTAATTTCTCGATGTGATTCTGCTTATCTGTACCCTTTCATCACCCTCTCATTCCATGATTGCCACACACTATTGGGCCGTGAAATACAGACTGCATGCAAACCCAAACCCATTTTAAGATTGGCACCATGGTGGTAAGGAAGAATCACACTGGTTAATCTAATTTAAAATGAAGCCAACTATCCTTCAGCTTACACATGAGGACTTTATGCCTCAGATATAAAATTTTAGTCAAACTTACATATGGGAAAGTGGAGAAAAAAAAGACAAAACTTGACTAATATTGCAGAGCCTTTAAAAAAGATGAAGAATTTGGCTGCCTGCCCTCAGCCTACAGTTTAAGTGTCTGTTTATCTCCATTGAAAGTGTCAGACTGATGGTGTACAGTGTCTGGTGTACAGTGCGGTCTGGGAATGACTACATATGTGAGAAAGTGAGAGTAGGACATAGAGGCGTGGTTGCAAAAAGACAGACTGTGTGAGAGAATATGCGTACAGGGTGGAGGGCAGCACTGACAGGGGACAACCGATGAGATATAATTAGAGTATGTAGTTTTGCAACCTAACGTGCCTGCCAAGCAGACTGGTTGATGTCGTCTACTCGACTTCCCTTCAAATTCCACTTTATTTTTATAATTTTGCTCTGAAGAAGCAAACAAGCATAGAGAGACAGAACAGAAAAAATCAGGTTACTACGGGTAAATCATTAAAATGCACACAATCAATAGCTGACTACATGGTGATGGTTATTTGTACGATTAGTCCCAGAGGGAAAAAAAAAGAAGAAAGGTCAACCCAGACACCTGCTGATGAACACCAAATAAAAAAACGTAGATGACTATCCAATAGTCCATCAACTTTATCCAGTTCACGGATGAGGCCAGAGGGCCCGGTCCATTCAGCATACATCTGACGTGCAAATATAAAAATCCTGTATGAGCAATGCCTAATTTCCAAAACGATGGGTACCATGGAAAAAAACTCCCAGGCACGGGAGAGTAGTTTTCCCTGTGTAAAACTACCATTCATAAATAACAGCCAATTTAATGAGCAGAGATGATAAGTTTTGCCTTTCGTATATTTCTTTTATGATAGCCAAGGAAGCACTCCCCTGTAAGTGGTTCTTGTCCAGACACTTCTTTGTTATTGCCTTTTTACTGGCACTAAGTAATACTTCATGGCTATATTTGCGTCAAATGTACAAGTCACTTGGTAGATTACCTAAATATATGATATCGAGAGTATAGTCAAGCTCAAAACCTATTATGAGTTTCATTTATGTTACTGTCTTTGCTCAGTAAGATTGTTTTGCTGGACAATTAGAAAACATGTGATAATGATCAGCCATTGTAATATCACATTGTATCCAGCAGTGTCCAGATTCCAGATCTGCCCCTTTGTTGATGTTTTCTTTTTGGGGTTATAAAAAAATGAATTATTAAATAAAGGTGCTGTCATTTTATTTTATTTATATAACCTATCTTCACCTGTTAGTGTTGTATTTGTTCCTTGATTTGACCTTGATGTATAAGGTGGAATTTTTTCCCAAGACACTACATATATGAACAAATTCTGGGTAACAGCTTGCTGTGAATGTTGCCCTTCTATGCATCAATAAAAATATTTATGATACCCCCATGTAAATTGCAGGTTTCACTAAGAAGTTGAAAACTTTCGAGATCTGTATTAGCTGAAATAACAAATATGATGTAATGCCTTTCCAGGTCCAGTCTCTAAACTTCAAGTCCGAATTATACTCGTTTAAAATCTTCACCATATTCCAAAAATCTTAAGAACGGTTATTCCTCTTACATTAATTAAACAATATATTTAACAATACTTCTGTCAGATCACTTAATTTATTTAGGTACTTGTTTACCTCACATACCACAGATTGTAGGACGACACTCAACTGGCTTAATTCTTAACCTTTCCATTTTTGCACCATACCCACTGTTGCACCAGCAGAATGAATACTGTAACTGTGTTGCTCTACAATAGTCCTTCAACCATGGCAGGAACATTCCACCTTTTTCTTTTCCTAGCTGTAGTATTTTAAATTGTACTCTAGACTTATTACCCTGCCCTATCCTACAGGTATTCATTTCCATTTATTAATCTGTTTTATTGATATCTATGCTGGTAGGGACTGAAAAAGGAATAGCAGAAGAAATAAAATGTAATTTTCACAATTTCTACTTTATTTTACAAATTAAGGGAGCACATCTTTCACGGTCTACTTTTATTTCTTTTAGCATAAAACAATCATTTAAATTTGATGTTGTTTAGATTCTCTTGTATAGTGATACCTAGGTATATAATACTATTTTTTTCTGCTGAGTTTATAAAATTAGCGTTGATAAAATATAGCTTTATAAACACATATTTTGGGTCTAGTGTATGTTTAATTTGCATCATGAATAAAAACTTGTTTTATCCCTGTAAGTAAATTTACTGTTATTTCAATGTGTTTTCTAATTACTTGAGCAAGAAGCCCTATAAATAATGCAAAGTGCAAAATGTAAAGTGGGGCTTAAGGGACACCCTTGACGGCGTACTCGTTTCTAACTAATTACCCTGAACAAATTCCAAAATTCTGAAATCTTCTTATTTAAACTGATTATTTTCCACTATCAGGCTACCACAACAACAGCAGAGTGTTTCATATGTGCTAATGTGTGTGCACGTATTCCCCTGAGTGTGTGAGTATGGCTGGGGTGGAGTGGCTGACCTTTCTCTACGTCTCTCGGGTTTAAACAGAGTTCCTTTGAGATGACATCTGAACAGAAACCAGCGTTTGCCCTTCCCCAGCCAACTCTCCCCAGCCAGCCTCCATCTAGGACACATGGTTTGCCCCCATTACTCCCCCCTACCTCCTTTATAGAGCTGCATACCATGCTAGAGGAAGCTAGCATGGTCTGGTCTCTCCCCTCTATTCCCTGCTATTAAGATTAAGACAACCCCTGGGGGGGTAAGATGCAGGTCATCCAGCACAAATTACGCGTCTGTGGTATGTCCTGTAGGATGTCACGAGAGTAACTGCATAATGCTGTAGCTTAATTGACTTCTCGTACTCACCACTGAAAAAGATTTTTTCCTCTATGTGCATGAAAGTTTCGGGTTTACTCCTTTCTATGCAGACCAAACTCCAGCATGGTATTAAAAGGGTTAAAATTCGGTTTGAGTTACAGTGTGGATAAACATTCCCTCAGAAGACTGAGACCACCGTGATGAGTAATTTTAAAATGCCAAGTTTCATTTCAAGGTCTGTTCTCCCTAGTTTATCAAACTCATTGCTTCCATTCATTGAGTCACCTTATTATTATTGCCATTACAAAGGATTAAACCTCAGTACTGCTAAGTCAAAAATACCGCCGCTCTTTCCACCACCCAGAGACGATCTTTATGGAGTTTTCCATTGCACTGCTGACTCTCAGCCTTTGGTGATTGCGATTTTGCTCAAGCTTGGGAATGGTTTGTGAATTAGGAAAAGAGGGATTTATTTTCTACTTCATACCAGCTGCTTGCGCTGCGAGGACGGGATCTCTCCTCCCCTGGCCCCTTGCCTCTCCCTTCCTTTTCTTGCTCTCTTACAGTCAGCACCTGCGGGAAATAAGAATAGAGGAAACTTGAACTTTGGCTGTCACTGCCTTTGACTGTATCAGTTAGTAGTCCAGAAAAATGACGATAACTGGGATATATGCAGGAATAGTTTTCAGGGGACATCAGTAAAATCATGGAAAGGGTGTGCAGCTCTGCTGACACAGAGATAAACAGAGATTCATAACAGGTGGGCATGACGTGAGGGTAAACACAGGTTGTAAAGCAGGAAACAAACATTTCAAAACAAAACACACATCCAGTGTGTCAATGTTTTTGACTCACACACCGGATGTGAACAACATACCCCCATAAGATGCAAATCACACACTGATTGTTGCACAATATAAGTGAAGCCTGAACCATGTGCAAGTTCTCCTCTCACAGCTTTCTAGAAATAATTTCCCCCACCCCATTCCAGTTCAAGGCTCTCTAATCAATTCAAGGTTGGGAGCGGGAGCCTCCCTGCCATGTGATTGGGCAATGTGTCAGTTTTCTAACACTCCCAAATCCAGTGGCACACACAAACACCCCCACCCTCTGGATTAGTGGGAACCTGTCTGTATCACCTAAGGCTAGACTGCTTTCATGAGCCTTATGATGTATTTCCTTCAACACAGTCTTAACTGCTGTGTGAGTGTCAACCAGACATGCTGCATGACAGCGTCTGCTGCCGATTCTCCTACTTTGGCTCCAGCAGCACAGAGTCAGGCTGCTGTGAAAGTGCGGTCGACATTTTGTCTGGAGTTCTCAGAGCCTAAAAAACGACGAGTGACCTTTGCGTCATATCATAACAAGGCTTGCCGTTGTTCTGTCCATTGTTTCATTGTGTTGCCATGCCAATACCACTGAGGGTATTGGTGGGAGAGAAACATCTTTTAGACTAGAACTACAGCCAAATCACAAAGAGCCATTCATTCAGGCCCTAGTTCCACAGCTGGTTCTAATAGAAATCAAGGAGGGGCATCTCTGAGAAAAAGAGAGGGAGCGGTAGACAGAGTATGGACGAGTGTGTGGTAAGGAAATTTGCCTCAAAACAAACAAACAGTTGGTGAAGACCTGTTATGGACCCACACACTGACAGAAAGTGGAAACACAAGACGCAGGACTTGCACTGAGTGACTGATATCTAAATCTAAACAGGCTCCAAAGTTAACAAAACTAGATGTATGTGTTGATGACTGTGAATAATACCAAAGTAAAAACATATTATGAATACATTGCCACCTTAGTTATGGGACCTCATTTATCAAATCCAAAAGCTACTCGCAAACAATGAGATCAAAGACAGCGGCGCATGTCGGGCTGTTATAACTGTGCGTTTGGCGTGGATGGCAAATACCAAACATTACAGAGGAGACAAGCTGAACTCCCATGGACTCCCACAGAACACAGATGAAAACACACATACCCCCTAAACACACCAACACTGTCTGAAGCCTGATGACTCCCATAAATCAACAAACACAGTTGAAGATATTACTTTGATTTATTCAAGTAAGGGCAAAGATGATATGAAAGCCCAGTGATTTAGTTGCTTTTAATTCATCTGAAAGGTTTTAGCTCCCAAAGAAAAGCTCTCAGAATGGCAGTTTACGTGCCGCTGTCATCATACCAGGCTAATTGTCTGTTTCAAAACGGAGACCATATTTGAGGTCTGACGAAGAAAGGGTTACAGGAAAGGGAGCTTCATCTTTCTATTCCCCAAGGACGCAAAAACAACTCAGTCACTTCCTCCCAGCCCAGGAGAAAGAGTAACAAGGAGAAAGAGAGCATAAACGAAAAAAAGGGGGGGTAGCAGCGGTAGGAGAGGGAGAAAGGAGTACAGTGAGAGAGGGAGGGTGGGACAGAAAAGAGGGGAAATGTGAGGAAAGACAGGCAAACTGTAAAAGGAGAGGGAAGAAAGTTTTAGATGGAAACTTCTGAAATGAGAAGAACATGCCTGTTCTCAGATTTGGACTCCACCAGAATGAATCACGCTGACACTAGAATGAGTGCTGCTACTAACGCAGGACAAACATCTACAGATCAGACAGAGGGGCCGCAGAGTGCTCCTCACGATGAGTAAATAACGATTCAAGAGGACCTCTCCTCATAATCCTACATGGCTCCACCTAGAAGATTACCATCATTTGTACATTCCTCTCCTAAAATAGAGAGAAAAAAAAGAGAATCCCTAAGACAAGTAGTACTTTGTTGCACTAAATAAAGCTTATTGTTGTTCAGAGTTGTTGTTTTTTTCAGGGTAACAGGCCACAGACCTCAAAAAAGATGTGCTGAAGGCTTTTAAATGTCACATAAAGATGCTGCTGTATTTACTGAGACTTCTTTGTCTTCCTCCTCATTCTGCAGCACAGATGGCTTCATTCAGCCAACTAGCCCTGGATGAATAATAAATCAGAAAAATTAAAACAAATCTTTCCCAAAGAGCTGAAGAATAATAAATGCAGAAGCAGCAATAGCCATTTTTCACCCAGCGTAATGTGGCTGAAGAGCATATGTCACCGCATGACAGAAAGGGCCTTCACCAAATGCGAGGCCAGATGATCTCATATCAGCATGCTCATACAGTGTGTACTCATGCTGCTGGTGGGACATGTGGTTTTTGACTAATGTAGCCATTAAATTCGGGATAGTGAAATCATAACCCAATGGGATGTCACCTCCAGGACTTCTTGCCCTTTAGGAAAAAGCCCTGTTTTTCACATTAAGGAGTGGTGATGAGAAGGAGCAGACGGCGTGGAGCTGGAGCAGTCTGGTGCTAGAGAGACTATGGCCAAAAGGAGAGGCCGGCCAGCTCACATTACTCCTGGAACAGGAGCAGAGTAAACACCCGCCTCTCCGCTATTGGTCATTGTGCTGACCTCCAACAGGAAACTGAGCAAGGGTGGGGCTGAGCGACAAGGAGCGGCACGGGGGGGGGAAAAAAGCCATTTGGGAGAAAATTCCTGAGCAGTTGTGGAGGTGGGGATTAAGACGGATGCTGAGCGGAGACGCAGAGAGTTGCTCTGTTTTAGAGAAACTGCGGTGGTCTGGAGAGGAGGAAACCCAGACAGCAGTGATTGAGAGATGGTGGAGAGCCAGTCACAGCAGTTTGAGGGTTAAAAGATCAGGTCAGCGTGTGTGAACAGATGGTACAACAGAACGCAGGAAGTCATATCAGTCCGGTTTCCATGCTAAGTTAAGCAGTTCCTTTTCGAGAATCTTATCAATTACTTCCTGATTTGGTGAAGTTGTTGATGCAACAGTTGTACAGACACAAATAAAACAAAACAGACAAGGGAAAAAATAATAATCCAATGCACTTTACACATGTTGCTTACTGGACAGCACAGTCCATCTGGCTTCTCTGGGTGATTAATAAAATAAAGGAGATCAGTCAGCTTATTCAGCAGGATAACGAATTACTGTCCCTATTAGAGAAAAAGCCAGCTTTTCACCATATGTTCACTACACTGCTCCCCCTAATCGACAGTGTTAAGTAGGAGTATTAATTCACTGTCTTGACCACAGCAGTCTCATGCTGGGCTGTATATTTAACCAACTCTAGTGCAAAACTTCCTGTTTAATATTCATGTTGTTATGGTGCATATTCACAGAGTGCTTTTTAGAAAGGAAGAATAACACATTAAAAACAAACTTCATGCATAAAATGAATAACGTCCATTAATATTATTATAGAGCCCTGTGCCATAAACCATCATTATTTCACATGACTTTATGAAAATGGTATACTGTCTTACTATAACAGGTGATTAAAAATGCAGTAAAACTTCTCTGAAAGGCTCATCTGTGGTTAAAAAAAAAAAATCCAAGAAAGTGATAAACAGTCTCACACAGGTTCAGGGTGTAATTTCATTAGCCTTGCTAAACAATTTAAACGCCCGGCGTGTGGCCCAGTGTGCAAATGGGGTTTATGGGCCCTGCATTCCTCCACTGCACCCCCAGATCCAAACACTGTAATGAAACAATCACATTCCAGCTCAGAAAAAAAAGAATCTGCTTAAGGAGACTCCAGCTGCTGACAAACCTGGACCCAGATCCATAAAATGCAGTCTGGGGGACTCCCTTAGAGTGGGTTTTCTCTTTTACTGCACTTACACTCAACATATCTCAAATTAACAAGCAAATATTTAGTTAGCAGTCCTCTTAGCTGAAACTAAACCACATTATTGTCTTAATAAATCCTACAATCATGAGGGCTCTGATATGTTTTTGCCTTAAACCACTGTAACAAAAGCTAATTTATCCCTAAGGTCTGTCCTTAATGCTCTTTAACTATATTATAATATATGGGTTCTGTATGACGCAACAACACCTTTTCCATGTAATAACATGACAGATGGGACAGAGACCATGTGAGCACCATGTAGCTGCTGGTAGGTGATTTAATACAGCCAGCAAACCCATTACACAACAGCAGGACAGTGGTGTATTGTATGATGTAGTGTAACAGGCTGATGACTGCACTCCCACATCCTGCCAAGTTCTGCTTGCCCACCATGAAAACAACATCTGACTGAGCTATAGAAGTTTCTCAGTAAAATGACTGCATTCATAAACAAATAATATAGTACTGCAAAAATTAACAGGGAGATTCTAGTTTATTTGAGAAAGGACTCAGGTTAGAGATGTCTTTCAAGAAAAAGGAAAAAAAAAAAGAGCGAAAGGTATACATTTGGTCCACTTGCCCTGTTAATATATAAGCCCCTTCTTATCGCTGACCACTGGCCAGCTACAGCTAACGAGACCAGCAAATATTGAGGGCAAAAAGCAGCACCGAAGAACATCTGGAAGTCATGAAAACTTGCAGCGTGCCTGGGACCCACCCTCTCCCATGAGCCCTTACAGTTTTTAAATGAGATTTTCGTTTTTAATTAAATTATAAACTGACTGGATTGTTGCAACATTTTCTGAATTAAGCATGAGAATAAAAAAAGTTTCAAAGGCAAGTGCAAACACACCCAAAATGTCTTTCTTTCTTTTTTGTTATTTTGCTATTTTGGAAATGATGTCGCGTTTAGTTGAATACTGCGAGATTTAAGAGCCTAAAAGTTGATCTTTCCAGGCAGCCCCCCCGCCCTCCACAAGCCCACCAAGACAATAATAGAGCCCTATGTAATGAATTAAAGCCGCTGTATGGAAAATGCAAAGCTTATAAACAGAAATGTTAAGAAAGCTAGGGTTGTGAGGCCAGAGTTAGTGTGACAGACGCACTCTCAGTCCCTATATGATGTAAATTATTGATAAATATTGATAAATCTGGTTAATCCCGCGCGGTGAGCCTCCAGTGATGCTGTGAACAAAAAAGAGGACGCACCGGAGAACCAATCGCGAGAGTCAAACATTCCTGCAACCGCAGATAAATACTAATATGAAATTATGAAAGCTAATTAGTCAGAAACCTTTAACAGAAATACACAACCAGCCATAAGCTACGCTAGGTGTTGGTTTTAGAGGATAAAGGACCCGTTACTTCAGAGAAGGAGCACCGGAGGGGAGAATGGGCAGGACCGACGCTTCACAAAAGAAGTCCCACTGAAAGCTCCTCGTCTGAAGCCATTTACAAAACACGCTGACAAAGACAGACCAAGCTGGTTTTCGCACAGAGGAAAGTCAACTTATTGTCTGCTCTTACCTGCCCTGCGCAAATCCTTTCTGCCGCCTCGGCCCAGGAGGAGCGCTCACTGACAGAGAGACAAAAACACCGCAGCCAAGATGCTCCGAGCCCCCTCCCGCTTCTCTTAAAGGGCACGCGGCCACGAGGCCAGGCGGTGAGCTCGCGCACTGCAAGTCGGTCATCTCGCTGGAGTCTTCATATATATACAGAGACATATATGAAGCTGTGCAATCGTTTGACCCTCCTTCAGTCTGAAAGTCAGATTAAAAAAGGGGCCCAAGCTATTTTAGTGATGAGGTCATTTATGATCCCACTAGCCTACATTTATTTATTTATTTTACTGTAATGGAAAATTAAAGGGTTTCTTTTAAATGGGTCTGGTTGTTTATCATATACTGAGCCGTTTATCTATGATAGATATATTAAAATGTATTAAATGTTATGTAAAAAAAAAAAAAAAAGTAAAAAAGACCCAAATTGTGGGGAAAAAAAACTTTATTTATAAAAATGTGTTTGTTACTTCTAACAATATAAATGTCATTCCTTCAAGAGCAGTTTATTAGAATCAGAAAGCAGTTTATTAGAATCGGTTTAACGCCAAAATATCGATGACCAGAACTCATGTAAATAAACACAATGAAGTCAACGTGGTGATTCTCTTTTTAACGCCTTGTTACTTCTATACTCATTTTTAAAATATTAATCTAATCAAGCATCTGGCTTATGTGTGTAATAAATAAATCTTTTGTAAAGGAAACAGTTAAAATCTTTGAATTGCTGAACTTTCAAAATAAGACGCCTTGTTATAAAATAATAAGCAACGAAGTACAGTAAAGTCAGCAACTATAATCTTAAAAATCCTCACTGGTCCCCAGCTGTCACTGGTAACATTAAAGTTTACATACTGTATTCTATAATAAAATATTTTTAAACAACTTGATCACACTTTTTGGATATGAAACACTGAGCTGTGCATTTATTTTCGTGCCCATTCACAACAACAGATGCTTTAAATGCAACTACATATTAAGTTTCAAGTTTAATCCTGAAGTGTAGCAAACTGGAGATACAACTGAAAAATCTAAAATACATTCAATCAAAATCAATCATTATATTATCAAATCAAGAACCGCTGAGGAATCCCAATAAACGTCCTCAAACAACCTCTTTAGAGATCCATGGACATCAAAAATTGTTGGTGGAAGGACACTGAGTATCTTTGAGAAATTTCATACCCAACAAAAGACTGGCAGAAACAACCATAAAAGTCCCTGCAAGAGGATGTCACCAAATAAACAAATACAAATAAATAAAAAAAATATATAATCATGATGGTACAGTAACCCTTGTGAATGTGCAGTAAATATGTGACGAAATAATTATTCTTAATTATAACTGTTAATTTTAAGTTATAACATCTGAAAAAGAATAGTCTACAACATTCAAAAGTGTTGAGATTCATAACTAAAATTAATACATGCAAATTTAGTAATAATTACTTGCAAACCTTGTGTATGTTTCATGTAGAAACAGGAATGTAGAAATGCCACTATGTTACTGTCGTAGCCCCGTTGTTAGTGTAGGTTTTTGTAGTATCACTGTGGTCTATGGGTATTAAAGATGCTTCCCATACCATAATATGATACTGAGTGCTGAAAAGTGATTAGATTTCCAGTAACAAAACTGTTAATGTGAAACAGTGTTAAAAATTAGTAGTAATCACATTCCTACAGAAATTTACATTGTAAGACCCACAAATAAAGGATGACCATGAGTGTAGGGAAGAAATATTTAATAGAAGACAGTGTAAATAAATAAAAAAAATTGCCTATCTAATAGGTAAAAAACAGTTTCCAGCTCTGTAAAATAACAAAAGCACATATGTTTTAGTAGTTACAGTGTTAATGTGCTGCAGGTTGTTTACAATAGTGCAATTTCATAGATACAGTAGATGGAGATTTCTACAATAAATGCAAACCACAGAGGTGTATACATACAAAACATTTGGTCTTCCACAGAAGCGCATAACAGTCAAACGAGGACTTGTTTACGCAGTCATAACATATTCAGTTATCTATCTATACTGTAGTATGATAGTGAATGTCGCAGTTTGAACATGCCTGTGTGAGTAAACGATGGCCTGTCTTTAGACAGTGCTTCTGTGATAAACATCTGATGCGACTGCAGTGCTTTTCTAAGAGTTCACAGTTTTAAAAACACATTTAAACATGCCATCGAGTCACTCTCTCCCACACATTATGAGCTCAATCATATCAAACCTGGACCTCCACAAAAAACAGCCCACCAACTCTCTTTACTGAACCCTTATAACGAGAGATGGGCAGATAAATGTTACGACTTGAGGGAGAAGGAATGTCAGTTATTTGGTCTGTTGATAACAAAAGAAAACTCCCTGGGACTATTTAATAACAAAGTCTGGCAGTGATCACTACCAGGGATTAAAAAAAATCTCACAAATTAAATAAGTCCATGACATAAAACAGACAACCTAAGCCTGTTCAAAAGCAGACACTCGAAGCTAAAGAAAAACAAGCGTAAAACAGTGCGCTAAAAACTAAAGGTAAAGTCAAATCAGGCTCTGAGAGATTACTTTGGGTGGATAACTGTAAAAAGCTTTCTTTAAACGCTGCCATCTTAGAGCCTTGCTCCAAATGACAATGTTTACAGAGCAGATAACCTTCCTGCATAAACACCAGAGGGTTTTTTTTTTCCAAAAGAGGTGTGAGAGTGGTGGGGATGGTAGGGCAGCGAAAGAGGTGACAACTTACTGTGTGTGCATGGAGGGACTGGAAGGGGGAGGGGGGTGTTAAGACATGACTGGGTGGCCAAGGGTGATGAGTGTAAAATAACGAGCTAGATGAAGACGAGGACGGTGTGTTTGTGTGTTCCTGCTACAGTTGGTGTGCAACGCAGTGGGGGGAAGGGGGGGACAGACGGTATGAGATGGTGCTAATTTTAAAAGCTTGTTGCTCTGTGTCGCTTTGCAGCTTTCTGTGGCTCAACAGTCGACTTTGCGGAAACTCGACCTACTGTAGGAGTTCCTGCAAGAGAGGGGGGATAATTAGTAGGAATACTGGTAAAAGATTTTTTTTGTCAAAATCCAAAACATATTTTAGCAAAGATGTGGTTCGTTTTTATTTCATTTGAGCCAAAAAAAAAATAAAAATGCCACCCAAGGAGTGTGAAAGTTGTCCCACTAAAAGCTTACATGGCTTTGAATCAGCATTGTGGTTCCAAGAGTAATAATGATAAACCCCTAATGTAATATAGCGGACCAATGGAGCTCAAAGTTTGTGTTAATATTTTAAATATCTGGGATTTTACATTTCTCTCTGTGCTGCAGCATCGGTCTGGCAGGTGCTGTTGACTGTAACTGTTTCTGATTAGAAATCAGTCCACATGCAAACACAGAGGTGCAGCCAGAAGATGATGAAAACCAAAAGTAACATATGGTGATAGTTTCCATAGTCAAACAGGCTACAGCAGTTCAAGAAGTGCATCATCTTTTATTAATGACTGTGGAATAAAAATGTGACACATTTGAAATCACTGCAATGTGTCTGCATGTCTGCTCACTGGTGACAAACTGGTTGCTTGAGCATATAGCCTGAAGCATGACACAGTTTTACGTTCCTCTTATGTTAGTTTGATGTGCTTGAAGAAGCAGCATGAGATCATTTTGTGCGTCTCTGTGCGTAGGCGTGTGTGTGTGTGTTATTAATGTCTCAAGTTACCGTTGTGTTTGCAGAGTCGGAGCTGGTAGGGTTCTGTAAAGCTGGGGGATCTTGCGGTTGATGAGAGGACCCAGAGCTTCTTTCAGTTTATGGTAATTCCTTTCTAGCTCTCTGTGGTACTCTTTCTGATCTGGCCCAATCAGGGCTTTATTTTTCCTCAGGGCATCTTCACACCTGCACAAAAAAGAAAGACACAGGGAGTTGGGATTTGTTTTTATTGGCTACACAACAGTCTTTGTCTGAGACAGAGATCATGTCAGTACCTCTTAGCGAAGTCTTTAAAGCAGAGGCGCAGTTTGTTGTGATGACGAAACAGCTTGGGGTCATCAGGAATGTCGGCGAGAAAGACCTGCGCCACCTCAAGGGGGCCCTGTTAGGGGAGACAAACAGTTACATATTAGCTGAGGAATTTCTGCCACTGCTCAAAACACTAACCCAGACTTAAAGCTCTGCTTTGATGTTATTATTATTCCAGGGGGACCAGCATTTCAATTATTTTATCACCTGGTTGACAGTGGTGCCCACACAACCCTGGAGCACCATCTGAAGCATTTTAGAGTCTGCGGGGTCTTGGTTTGTGGCGAAAGCGAGCTCCTGAGTCTTCTTCTGCATATCTTCAATCGCCACCTCGATGGGGACAAGAATAATCTGGAAAGCCAAAGATGTAACAATGAACATACATCATAATGTCTACATTTATTTAAAATCTGATCCCTCCAGTAGAGACACCCACCTCCTCCTTGTGGATAACATTGATCCGTGTCTTGATGTAAGGGAAGGCGTGAGACGTTGTCAGGATGGTTTTGCGTTTGTACTGCTCGTGCAGGTCGCCGTGAGCGCGGCCGTCCAGAGTGAAGGGAGTGCAGTACATGAAGGTACGCAAGTTGTAGTTCTTGTCAAAGTAGGTGATTCTTTCCTTCAGCTCATATGTGTCAAAGTAGGGCTCGACATAGGTGATCTGCAGGTAAGCCTGAAAAAGTCATCAGTACAGTTAGACATTTTTAAAATATACATATTCTTTAAGCAACAAACATACACATCTCTTTACCTTGTTGGGATCGAGTTTGTTTTTGTCCACTGGGTTGGAGTCTTTGATAATTTCGACCACCTCATCCCCAAATTTCTCTGAGTAGAACTCCTGCGGGCCAGAGGCATTCACCTTTAGACATATGTTCCTTATAAATCATTAAAGACATCTTTATTAGCATCAGGAGGAGTTAACATGCCTCAAGTCTGTGCGATATCTCAGCTAACTTGGTGATCGATGGCTCCTTGTAGACAAATTCTTGCTCATCCAGATCTCCGAAGCGACAGCCATAGAAACCCACTCTGAAGTAGGTCCCAAACATTCGCTGAACACTAAAAACAAGACAGA